GAGAGACAAAGAGACAGAAATAGAAAAATCACCCCCCCCCCCCCCCGGAGGAGGGCCGCCGCCCCGGAGGATGGCCACACTGCAATCCCTTCTCCTCCATTCTCCTCTCGGGATTCTCGGAGCGCACATATACGCGCCTGGCATGAGTTTAAGCCGCTGGATCTGACTCGAACAGCAGAGTCCAGCGATGCAGCCATTACACCATCTGCTGGTCCCCTGGAGTACATTTTTAAATATGACATTGAGGTAGGCCTCGTCGAGAAGGACTCGAAGCTGGTAAAGGAGGCAGCTCTGCAGCCACCAGGGAGATACTTACACACTCCAGGCAGAAGGAACACCAGCGCTGAGGCCTGAGGCAGGAGCCAGCCAGTATGTTCAAAGAACAGCAGGGTCTCTGGAGACTGGAGCAGGCTGAGTGAGGGGAGTACGGGAGGCAGAGGGGGCCCAGGGACCAGATTATGAAAGGTCTTACTGGCTTTTGTGAGGTTTGTGGATTCCATTCCCAGTTATACAGAGAAGTCTTCATGGTTTGGCAGAGTAGTGACATGATCTGTTTTGATGTTTTAGAAGGAACAGAGTAACTACTGTGTTATGAGTAGTCTGTCAGGGCCCAGCTACAGTGGCACAGGCAGGAGAGCGCTGCCACACAGTGGCACCAGAGGCCTGGGTTCAGTGCCCAGCCCAGCCTAGGCAGGACTGGTGTGGCAGCGCTCTCCTTGGTCCTGGCTGGCTGGGGACTGATGGGAGGGTGGATCTCCACATGGCAAGACCCGGTCAGGAGTGTTGCAGACGTTCATGTGCTCTCGTGTGCTCGCGCTCTCTCTCTCTCTCTCCCTCTCTCTCTCTCTCTCTCCTTCTCCCTCCCCCTTCCCCATCTTCCCCTCCCAGGAGTGTTGCAGACGTTCATGTGCTCTCGTGTGCTCGCGCTCTCTCTCTCTCCCTCTCTCTCTCTCCTTCTCCCTCCCTCTTCCCCCTCTCCCCCTTCCTCTCTCCCTCATAAAAATAATGGAAGGAGGGAGTGGAATAGACTGTCAGAGAGGAAGAGAAGCGAGGAGACCACGTAATAGGTCATTATAACAACCCAGGCAAGAGAGGGATGATGGCTCAGAGAGGAGAGTGTAGTGGAAGTGGTGAAAACAGCCAAATTGTAGGCCTGTTGTGGAAAAAGCCAAAGGACTTCCTGTTAGATTGGATGTGGTGTGCAAGAGACTACGACGACGAGAGAGATCAAAGATGCCTCTCAGGATTTTTGGCCTGAGTAATTGGCTTCAACTGGAATGGCCAAGACGGTAGAGTAAGTTGTGGGACGAGGTCAGGAGTTTGGGGAAATGCTAAGCTAGAGAGGGCTCTTCCGCATCCAAGAGGAAATGTCTGTTGGCTGTTAGTACAGGATGCGTGTCCGGTGTTAGAAGAGATCCTCCGTAAGTACTGGTTAAATGGCAGGATAAGAAAAGAGGCTCAGCCTCAGTGGTGCAGGCACTCAGGCACCACTCCGGGATATTAGGGCAGCACGGGAGGCCCAGGCCAGATCCCGGGTCCACTTGAACCTCGGAAAGCCTGGTGTTCCTGTCATCCTGGCCAGGAGGCAGGGAAGGATGGGCGTTGATCAAGACTGCCCGGAGTACTCGCTTCTCTCTCATGGAAGAAAGAAAGAAAGCTAATTTCTTTGTGTTTGTTTGTTTGTTTGTTGCCATAGAGTATGTGTACTCTATGGAGAAAGACAGAGAAAGACAAAGAGTGGAAAAGTGAGAAGTCAGCCCCGGGAGGATGGCCACACCACAATCCCTTCTCCTCCATTTTCCTCCTAGGATTTTGGGCCTGCACACATATATGCCTGACATAATTTTCTATTTTTTTTTTCAAAAACACTTATTTATTTATGGGATCAGCAGGTGGCATGATGGTTACATAGCTGGACTCCCACATAGTCAACCACAGTTCAAGTGCCAGACCCAGTGACTTGAAACTCACACAGGGCACGTGTGCATGCATGCCCAAGATCCCAAGAGGAACATGGAGAAGTGATTGCGGCATGGCCATCTCATGGGACAGGGGTTGTTCTCACATTCTGTCTCTGTCTTTCTCTGGTGAACGCACATGCCCTGTAGCAAAAATCTCTATACAAAGTTATTTATTTATTTATTTATTTATTTGTTGTGATTTTCAAGCTTCCAGGTTCAGGAACCAAACTACAGAAAGCCATGTAGAAATCTGGCACTTTAGCTGCCACGCCACCTGCTCGTCCTAAAATAAGTTATTTTTAAAAAGAACAAGAGGGCCAGCTCCATAGCCTGTTGGATAAGGCAGCCGGATCCCACATAACCAAACTCACAGTTGGAGCCTGGAGTTGGCACCTCGATAAACACTCTGGGTGCTTGTGAAAGTGTGCTCAACATCCCAAATGGGTGAAGGGATGGAGGAGGAGAGATTGCAGCATAGCCATTCTGCATGGGAGGGCGTGCTTTCCCATGTCCCTCTCTGTTTCTCTGGTGAGTGCATGTGCCTTCTAGCAAAAAAAAAAAAAAAAAAAAAACTAGAAAGGTTATTCAAGTATTAAGTGAAATAAGTATCATATGATACCATTTTAATTTATGTGTGTGTATACATCATACACACGCAAACACATATTTGTGTAAGGAAAAGAACAAGCAGATACTTACCAAAATATTAATAGTGATCATATGGGATATTATTTTTATAGTGATTTTTTTTTTTTGGAGAGATTTTTGCTATAGGGCGCTTGTGCTTGCCGGATAAACAGAGAGAGAGAGAAGGTTAGCAGAACCCCGGGGGGGGGATGGCCATGCCGCAATCCCTTCTCCTCCATTCTCTTCATGGGATCTTGGGCACACACGCACATGCGCTCGGCGTGAGTTTAAGCCAACAGGTCTGGGACTCGAACTGCAGTCGACTACTGGGAGTCCAGCAACATAGCCATTACGCCATCTGCTTGTCCCAGTGATTTTAATTTTTTTTTTGAGAGGTTTTTGCTATAGGGCGCGTGCGCTCGCCAAACAGACAGAGAGAGACAGAGAGACAGAAAGCGAGAAATCACCCCCCTAGAGGGGATGGCCACACTGCAATCCCTTCTCCTCCATTCTCCTTTTGGGATCTTGGGCATGCACGCATATGTGTCTGGCGTGAGTTTTAAGCCACCGGGTCAGGGACGCGAACCGCGGTCAACTAGGTGGGAGTACAGTGACATAGCCATTACGCTAACTGCTGGTCCAGCAGTGATTTTCATTTTTTAAAGAATTATTTTTTATTTAACTTTATTTGTTTGTTTATTTTAATTTGGCCAAAGAGGGACAGAGTAAAAGATAGAGGTAGAGAGAAAGGAAAAGCAAGAAAGCAAGCTGCCATTTCCAGGACTCAAACTGCTATCAGCCATGTGGAAGTCCAGCACCCTTAACTACCACACCATCTGCCAGCCCCAGTGATTTTAATTTCTTCCTTTTTTGAGTCTTTTTTTTTTTTAAGAATTATTTTTATTTAACATTTATTTATTCATTCATTCATTTATATTTGACCAGAGTGAGAGAGAAGGAGGGGGAGTGAGAAAACAAGCTGCCAGGTCCAGGACTCGAACAACAGTTGGTCATGTGGGAGTCTAGTGCCTTTAACCACAATGCCACCTGGTGGCCCCTGTATTTTCTTTTTTTATTTTTAAGAATTATTTATTTAATTTTATTTAACATTAGTATTTTTTATCTGTCTAGAAAGAGACAGAGAGAGAGAGTGAGAAGGAGGGAAAGTGAGAAAGCAAGCCATTAGATCTAGAACTTGAACCGTAGTCAGCCATGTGGGAGTCCAGCACCTCAACCACCACCACCATCTTCCAGTCCCAAGTCTGTGTTTTCTTATAGCTTTATAATTTATATGAACGGTAGACGTGTTCCCAAGGATGGTAGTTTCCTTTTCCTTTTTTTTTTACCTTTTAAGAATTTGAAATTTTGGGACCAGCAGTTAGCGTAATGGCTATGTCGCTGGACTCCCACGTAGTTGACCGCGGTTCGCATCCCGGATCCAGTGGCTTATCACGCCGGGCGCATGTGCATGCGTGCCCAAGATCCTGAGAGGAGAATGGAGGAGAGGGGATTGCGGTGTGAGCATCCCCCTTGGGGGGGTGATTTCTCGCTTTCTGTCTCTCTGTCTGTCTCTGTCTGTCTGGCGAGCGCACACGCCCTATAGCAAAAACCTCTATTAAAAAAAAAAAAGAATTTGAAATTTTAGTTTTTTTCATTTTTTTTAACTTGCTATAGTCATGAGAGATAGAGAGGAAGGAGGAAAGTGAGAGAGCAAGCCACCAGGTCCAGGATATGAACCACAGTCAGTCACGTGGGAATCCAGCATCCTAACTAGCATACCTGTTGGCCCCGATAGTTTCCTTTTCAACCATTGCCAAGTTTTTAGACTCAGGTTGTTCAAGGTTTTGGGGGTTTTTATGAATAGGAGCATTATATATATAGTTTGCTCTCTTTTTCTTTTGAGGTATTTCCTCATGGTTTATTCCCCAAATTAGAAATAACAGGATAGGGGACCATCAGGTGGAGTGGTGGTTAAAGTGCTGGACTCCTACATGACTGGCCACAGTTCAAGTTCCCGGTGGCTTCAAAATCATGCCAGGTGTATGTGCATGCATGTCTCAAATCCTAAGAGGACAGTGGAGGAGAAAGGATTATGGCTTGGCCATCCTCCCTAATGGGTAATTTCTCACATGTCCTCTGGCAAAAACCTAACAAGAAAATTAAAAATAAAAAAACAACAGACTGGGAAATATAAAGGTTTGTAACTTTTCTTGAAGACTGTCAGATCACCCTACAGAAAAACTGAACCAATCTAGAATCCAGCAGTGACAGGATACTGGATGGTCCATTTGGAGAGATAGTCCCTCCTACTAGGTCAGGGTTGCAATTTCCCACCAGAAAGTACCTATTGCCATTCCTTCAGCTGCCGTGGGGCCACAGAAGAGCTTCATGTAGGTCTCCCGTACTTTTCAGGTGTAGGCATCGGTGTGGTCCATGCTGGGTACGAGCGTCGCCTGGCCCATCACCTGGGAGCACACAGCACACCCTCTATCCTGGGAATCATAAATGGGAAAGTCTCCTTCTTCCACAATGCCATCGTTCGTTGAGAACCTACGACAATTTGTGGAAAGTCTTCTTCCAGGGAACTTGGTGGAGAAAGTAAGTACCTGTCAAGAACGTGACTGAGAAGTACCAGGGTCAAAGAGGTGCCAGGGCCTGCTCATTGCCCAGAACTTCATCTGTGGTCACCTCAGAGCTGAGTTTCATTTTGAGCAGGACAAGACACATCAATGAATTAATTGATTACTCAAACTAAGTTATTTAAATGAAATCTGTAAGAAAAAATTGACACAAAGAAACTACTGAGACTGACAGAATGTATTCCTGCTTATAACCATCTGGCAGATTTTACACTGTCATAGGACTCTGAATCTGAAACAGTAGGGACTGCTTGCTTTCTTTCTCTCTCTTTCCTTCCTTCTTTCTTTCTTTCTTTTTTTCCTTCTTTCTTTCTTAGGATAATTTATTATTATTATTATTATTCAGTTTGACCAGAGACAGAAGGGGAGAGAGAAAGGGTGAGAAAGCAAGCCACCTGGTCCAGGACGCAAACCACGGTTGGCCATGTGGGAGTCCAGTGCCTTAAGCACTGTGCCACCTGCTGGCCCCTCTTTTTTTTTTTCCCCCCCATTTTTGCTCTATGGCACGTGAGCTTGGTGGAAAGAGACAGAAAGCGAGATATCACCTCCCCAGGGAGGTTCGACACGCTGCAGTCCTTTCCCCTCTCTGTATTTTGGCCATGCACACACACACACCCAGAATGAGTTTTATGCTGCAGGTTCCAGGACTTGAACCACAGTCTACTACATGGGAGTCTAGTGACGTGACAATTACACCATCTGCTGGCCCCAACAGGGACTGTCTTTTAAACAAAAAAATTGAGTCACATGGAAATGAAGGATTTCTTTAAGGTTCATGAATTTGTTTGTGTGAGGATATTTGTTTTATGAAAATATTCTATTGGGTCATCAGAAAACTCATGTTGTATTTTTCTTTGTTTTTCTATTAAAAAGTGCATCATGGCTTTTCCGACAACCCAATAGTTAAATTATACTTGGGGGCTGGCCTTGTAGCCTAGCAAATTAAGGAAGCTGGATCCCACATGGCTGACCATGGTTCAAATCCTGACTGGGAAAACACTCCAGGAGCATGTATGTGCATGCCCAAAGTCCTGACAGAAAGGAGAGAGGAGAGTTGGAGGGAAAAAAGACTGCAGCATGGCCACACCCGTTACGAAGGGCTTTCTCTCTTCTCACCCCACACTGGTGAGCACACACCCTTCTGGCAATTAAAAAAACTACATGTGGTTATTTAATGATTGAATCTATAGAAGAAAGGGGCTGGCAAGTGGCATGGTGGTTAAGGGCCCTGGACTCCCACATGGCCGACCATGGTTCAAGTCTCAGACGTGGTGGCTTGCTTTCTCACTTCCTCTCTCTCTCTGTCTCTCTCTGATCAAACTGGAAAATAACAATGATAATAATAATAAATAAAGTTTAAAAAAATTATTCTCTTAAAAAAAAAATCTGTAGAAGAAGAAAAAATGATTCTGGGCCAGTAGGTGGCGGGAAGGTTAAGGGCACGGGACTCCCATATGGCCAACTAGATAGAGTTCGAGTCCCAGACCTGGTGGCTTACTTTCTCATTTTCCCTTTCTCTTTCTCTCTCTGTCTCTCTCTGATCAAACTGGAAAATAACAATGATAATAATAATAAATAAAGTTAAATAAATAAATATTTTAAAAAGGAGAAAAACAGATTGTGAGGCCAGCAGGTGGCATGATGGTTAAGGCACAGGACTCCCCCATGGTTTACTGTGGTTCAAGTCCCAGGCCTGGCAGCTTGCTTTCTCATTCTCTCTTTCTCTCTGTCTCTGTCTGGTCAAATTAAAATATAGCAATAATAATGATAATACATATAATTAAATAAATTCCTTATTTAAAAAAAAGATCCTGTAGGAATAAATATTATTTTTGGAATTTTAGAAATTTATAATGACACAATATGAATTTCACAAAGGAAAAGTTGAGCTAAAGAATTTAGACACAAAAGTTCATATTCGTTTATGATTTTACATTTCAACATCTAAGTTCTTCTCCCCAGTACATTAAATTAGGGATCAAAATAACTGGGAAAGAACTATTAGTTTGCTTTAAATAATTTATTCTTGGGCCTAGGAGTTAGTGTGGTGGTTAACATACTAGATCCCACATGCCTATTCCATGGTTCAAGTCCCTGACCTGGTGGCCTGATTAAAATGCCAGGCATGTGTGCATGTATGCCCAAAATTTTACAGTGATAAACAGAGGAGAAGGGATTACAGTATGGCCAGGCTACCTCAGGGGGTGATTTCTACTTTCTCTCTCTCTTTTCTCTGATGAGCACATGTACCCTGTGGCAAAATTTTTTTTTTTTGGTGGGGAGAGTTTTTTGCTATAGGGCATGTGGACTCGTCAGAAAGAGAGATAGAGAGACAGAAAGCAAGAAATCACCCCCGAGGGGGTGGCCACAGCACAATCCCTTTTCCTCTATTCTCCTCTCGGGATCTTGGGCATGCACGCACACACTCCCAGCGTAAGTTTAAACCACTAGGTCCAGGATTCAAACGGCAGTCAACTACATGGGAGTCCAGCGACATAGCCATTACTCCATCTGCTGGTCCCCCCCAAAAAAATTTTTTTATAAAACAATCTTTTTTTTTAGAATTTTTTATTTTATCATTATTATTATATTTTAATTTGCTACAGGACATGTACACTCACCAGAGAGAGAGAGAGAGAGATGGAGAGAAAATGAGGAAACAAGTCACCAGGTCTGGGACTCAAACTGGTGAGCTATATGGGAGTCCAGTGCCCCAACCACCATGCCACCTGCTGACCCCCCCCTCAAAACACAGTCATTTTAATAGTACCAAGTAGAGTGAACATATAAAAATCTCCATTATATTTCCATATGAGCTCTTGATAAACTGTCCTGCCAGGATCGTTACCCACAGAAGTATTTGTTAATATGAATTTAAAATGTGAGAGAGTAATGTAGAAGTCTAAAGTGATGATAGATTGCTAGACCGGTCCTCAAACATTTATTAATTACCTGTGTCGTGCTGGGCATGAAATAACGTATGTGTTCCAGTCACCTTTTTTTAAAGAATTATTTTATTTAACTTTATTTATTTATTTTAATTTGACCAGAGAGGGACAGAGTGAGAGAGAGAAAGTGAGAAAACAAGCCACCAGGTCCAAGACTTGAATCGTGGTTAGCCATGTGGGAGCCCAGTGCCCTTAACCACCATGCCACCTGCTGGCCCCAAGACACTTTTCAAGTGAGTGGTTATTTCCATCCAGTGTGTTGGAACCCATTCCTAAAGAGTGGGGATGGGCTTCCTGGAAGAAGTGACCCCTGTGCTGAGTTTGCCAAGTAAGAAAAGACAAGGAGTGAGTTGCGAACAGGCAAAGGTCAGGAGCTGGGAGATAGCCTGCTTTGTCCAAATTAGTTGTCAGTGAGCAGAGGAGGATGAGGTTTGGGAGGTTAGCAGAAGTCTCGCTGTGAGGGGCTCGGAGCACCTCCAGGCCTCTGTGAGGAACTTGGGCCTTGGCCTGCAGGTGATGGAGCCGTTGCAGCGGTCTGAGTCCTACAATGAGGAATGAGATGATCCAGTTTGGGCATTATATAGATCATTCTGATACAATATGGAAAGATAAATCTTCTGAACTACTATGAAAACTTTACTCACTGCAGTCCCTTCTCCATTATGCCTGCAGGATTTGGGGCATGCATGCACACATGCCCAGCTTTCAAGCCACCAGGTCTGGGACTCGAACCACAGAGTTGGCCATGTGGGATCCAACAGCTTAACCACCATGCTAACTTCTGGGCCCAAGAATAAATTATTTAAAGCAAACTAAGAGTCCTTTCTCAGTTACTTTGAAATTTAGAAATTTCATTATGTTTAATTGCCAGAAGGCATGTGTGCTCACCAGAGAGACAGAGCACACTCCCTGGTGGGGCGTGGTCACACCACACTCCTTTCTTTTCCGTTCTCCATTCCATCAGGATTTGGGGCACATGCACACATGTTCCCAGTATGTTCTTCAAGCCCTACTTCCAAGATTCAAACCACAGTCAGCCATGTGGGACCCAACTCACTTAACCACATTCATTTTATGTTGTTGATGGGTTTTGTTGGTGTTCTGTTTGTATTTTTGGTGCATGACTGACCAGAGAGATGGAAAGAGAAAGAAAGCACTCCGCGACGGGTGTGGCCACAAGGCCATCTTTCGTCCTTGATGTTTCCATCCTGTGGGGATCTGGGGCACATGTACCCATTTGCCCAGTGTGTTTCTACAGGATTCAGGCCACACAGTCCTGTGGGATCTAGGTCCCTTCCCCAGGAGGACGTGGGCCAGCCCCACATTTTTTCAATATACTTATTTGTTTTCTCAGAATATTTTTAAGACATAAGCAGGGAAAAACTAGTCAGATGAAAATAAATAAATTTAATGTACCAATGAGGTGGGCCACCTTATTTTTTTTTTAAGAATTATTTGTTTAATTCATTTATTATATAATTATTTCATTTGCTATAGGACATGTGCACTCACCAGAGAGAGAAAGCAGTCCACCAGGTCTGTGACTCAAACCGTGGTCAGCCATATGGGAGTCCAGCACTTTCACCATACAACCTGCTGGCCTTGAGCCACCTTGTTTTCAGTTTAAGGCATTTAAAAAGGATGAATGTTGGATTATCTTTTGCAGATTATTAGATGAAGTCCACTCAAGGCCCAGCCACAGTGTGCTAAGTCACCGTCCTCCATTGGCTGCGACCTCACATGAGTCTAGGGTTCAGCGCCTGAGCAGTCTGAAGGCCGGGAGCAGTGGGCAGTGCCATAGTCCTGGGACCCTGGGGGCAGAGGAAGGAGCACTGTGCGCCCTCAGCTAGCCTGAGCACAGCAAGACCTTGTCCAAGCAAAGAGCCAGGCGGGTGGCCATGCCAGTCGTCCCAGCAGGGAGGACGAGACGAGTATGGCCACATACTCATCTCATATACTTTTTGTTTATGAAAAACATACACTTTTTGATTATTTTTTTTAAAAAGGCACGAAGAAGAGAAGTGTGCTTTCTAATTCAGCCAGAACCAACATCAGAAGCTCAGTTTTTGTAGCTGGTCCGCAGTCGTGTCAGCTGTGATTAGGACTTCAGCCTATAAGAGCCGAAACAGAAGAAAATATGAAATCAATCCTCACTGTTCTTTTGATTGTTTTACTCAGATAAAAATAGAAAGATTCACTTTCTGCAGTAGTAAAGAATGAAATATTGGGGCTGGCAGGTCGCGTGGTGGTTAAGGTGCTGGACTCCCACAGGGGTGACCATAGTTCAAGTCCCGGACCTGACAGCTTGTTTTCTCTCGCTCTCACTCTCTCTCTCTCACCAAATTTAAGAATAATAATAAATTAAATTAATAATTCTTTTTTAAAAAAGAATTAAGTATTGAAACTAATATTCTATTTTCAATTGAAGGTTACAAATAAAAACTACGTCAGATTCCTTTCCGGCTGGCAGCAGGAGAACAAACCCCATGTCCTTCTGTTTGACCAGCTGCCCGTGGTGCCGCTGCTGTACAAGGTACTTTATATGCTGGTGTCATGTTTTCGTGTTTTGGAGGGAAGTAACCTCTGAGTCGGAGCTTGTAGCCTGTTTGTCCTTTCTGTACGTCAGCGTTCATTCACTGGAAGTGTTTGAAGACCAGACATTTCACTTGAGCAGCATACACTGAGCGTCTGCAGGTGCTAGTGACTGCTGGCACTTCCCACACATGGTACCACGTAACCCTCAGAGGAAGCCAGTGATAGAGGCACTGTCGCCATATCATAGACAGGGTACTGAGCTCCGCACAGTCTGTGACCTCCCAAGGTCTCAGCACTGCAGGGCAAGCACGCCATCCCCACCCGAACCTGTGTGTCTCCGAGCCTGCCCTCTCAGCGGCGCCCTGTACCACGCTTCCAGCACACTCTCATCCCGTGCTGAGAGGCGGGACAGGGCAGGCTCCTAACCATCGGCATGGTCACTGCCGTCTCATGTGATCAGGGTACAGGAAATTCCTCAAATATGCCTCACCTCCCTCCCACCCAGTACACATCCCCATATGATGATTATTTTGCTTGATCTGTAAAAAAGAATTAGTTGTGTCTCCCACGGTTGGCACAGATTGTGCAGAGAGCACCGGAGTTCTGAAGCGCGCAGAGTAGAGAAACTCTAGTCGGGCTCTCTGAGCCAGCGGCCCTCCTCTCCACCCTTGGTGTGACACAGCCCTGCGTGATTCGTAGCTCAGGTGCTGTGCTCTCAATTTCCTTCGCTTCCTCTCTCTTATCCCTGACAGCTGACTGCTTTTGCATACAAGGATTACTTGTCGTTTGGATACGTCCACGTCGGCCTGAGAGGAGCGGAAGAAATGATGAGGCAGCACAACATCAACGTGTACACCCCCAGCATCCTGGTCTTTAAAGAGCACATGGACAAGCCTGCTGACACTCTCCAGGTATGTGGGAACCACCTCGTCGCAAGATCTCCTGTACATTTTCTCCTGAGCCTCCATGGAAACAAACAGCAGCTGCAACGAAGTGGATGAGGTGAAGGAAAAACTTGTTTTCACCTTCTTCCCTTAAATGAACCCTTTTTTTTTTTTTAAGAGAGATTTTTGCTATACTGCGCATGCACAGTAGACAGACAGAAAGTGAGAAATCACCCCTCAGGGGAATGGCCACGCTGCAGTCCCTTCTCCTCCATTCTCCTCTTAGGATCTTGGGCACGCACGCACACGGACCTGGTCCAGGGCTCGAACCATGGTTGATAACATGGGAGTCTAGTGACATAATCATTATGCCATCTGCTGGTCCCAAAATGAGCACATTTTAAAATGAGGTGTTGTTTTTTTTTTATCTAATTTGGTGTTGATTTGCTTTCACTTTATTTTTACCTCAAAAGTGTCCCTGTTGGAAAAATCAGTTGTTTTTCAAAATAAATTACAAAATGAATTAATAAGTATCAGAGTGTGAAAAAGCCTGAAGCAAAGTAAGTAAAGGAAAAGCTCATGTAGGCCAGGGTTAGGAGGATCACGAGGCCCCCTGCAGTGGCACAGGCAGCAGAGCTCCTGCCTCGCCACGCCGGAGCCACTGGAAAGACCCCAGTTCAGACCTGGGTTGACCTGAAAATGCCCAGGCCACGCCCAGGATCCTAGCTGGCTGAAAGTTACACCTAACAATATATGCCAAGGTCTCTCAGATTTCAGATTTTTTTTTTTTTTTTTTTTTACTGCAGGACACTTGTGCTTGCCAGAGAGAGACAGAGACAGACAAAGAGAGAAAGAGAGAATGAGAAATCACCCCTCAGGGGGTTGGCCGCGTCACAGTCCTTCATTCTCCTCTCAGAATTTTGGGCATGCAGTACATGTACCCAGTGTGATTTTCAAGTCACTGGGTCTGAGACTCACATCACAGAGTTGGCTCTGTGGGATCCAGTCACCTTAACCTCCACACCACCTGGTGGCCCAGTGTCATCATGACTCTGAAAGGAGAGTAGCAAGAAACCGCGCACAGCGGTGACTGGCTAAACCCTGTGACAAGGAGAGCGGGATGGCCAAGGTCACTCACCTGAAGGCACTTGCCGAACCGGTGTCCGGCCCCTCGTTATAACAGCCACTTTGAAGGCTGTAACCAGTGGACGTGACTGATGGGAGAGGAAGGAGGGGTGGATTAGGGCATGAGGACATTCATGACGTGAAAACATCCAGAGAGTCTAGGAAGCAGCGTGAGCTACTTCAGGTGCACGGTCCTGAGAAAACGGTCAGATGTGCACACGTTCTGTTGCCTTACAGCACTGTTCAGACCGGACTCTCCTGTTCTCAGGGAGAACTCATCTATTTGGTTTCTATCGGCATCCATAAAATTTCAGTTGGGTCAGCGGTGTAGTAGTTAAGGCACTTACTCCCATATGACCAACTCCATAGTTCAAGTCCAGACCCAGTGGCTTGAAAAAGACGCTGGAGGGACCAGCAGATGGTGTAATGGCTATGTCGCTGGACTCCCATGTAGTCGACCGTGGTTCAAGTCCTGGACTCGGCGGCCTTAACTCATCCCGGTTGCGTCTGTGTGCGTGACCCCGGCGTGTGTGTGCATGCCCAAGATCCCAAGAGGAGAATGGAGGAGAATGGACTGCAGCATGGCCATCCCCCTGGGGGGTGATTTCTCGCTTTCTGTCTCTCTCTCTCTCTCTGTCTTTCTGGCAAGCATATGCACCTTATAGCAAAACTCTCTCAAAAAAAAAAGAAAAAAAGAAAAAGAAAAACATGCTGGGAAGGTGTGTGTACATGCCTAAAATCCTAAGAGGAAAATGCAGAAGGGACAGCAATGTGGCCAGCCCCCTGGGGTGATTTCTCACTTTTTTTTTTGTCTCTTTACTATGAGCACACACGCCCTATGGTAAAAATCCAAAAAACAAAAACAAACAGGTCAGCAGGTGGCGTGGTGGTTAAAGGCACTGTAAAGCCACTGGACTCCCACATGGCCAGCCACGGTTCAAGGTCTGGACCTGGTGGCTTGCTTTCTCACCTTCTCTCACTCTGTCCCTCTCTGATCACATTAAAAGAAATTAATTAATTAAATTAAATATTTTTTAAGTTAAAACAAAACAGAATGAATCTGGGGGAGAACTGACATCTTTACAAAATTGGACCATCCAACCTATGTGCGTGGTACGTGTTCCATTTGTTTAGGTCTTCTGTCATATGTCTCCATAGGATTTCATCATTTTGTCCATAACATCACATTGTTTTTCTGCTTATTTTAGGAACCTCATTTTTTCTGTATTATTAAAAAGATAATTCTTTTTCTTTAAAGAATTATCTTATTTAACTTTATTTATTTATTTATTTAAATTTGACCAGAGAAGCAGGGAGGGAAAGGGGGAAAGTGAGAAAGCAAGCCACCAGGTTCAGGACTTGAACCCTGGTCGGCCATGTGGGAGTTTAGTGCCCCTAACCACCACGCCACCTGCTGGCCCCTAAAAAGGATGTTATTTTAAGTACATTTTCTGTTTGTACAGTATATGAAATACAGTTGATTTTTTTTAAAAGTTTTGCCATAGGGCACATACACTCGCCAGAGAGAAACACAGAGAGACAGTGAGAAATCACCCCCCAGGAGTGATGGACATACCACAATCTCTTCTCCATTCTCCTGGGATTTGGGGCCCACATGTACATGCATCCAACATCATTTTCAAGCCACTAGGTCCAGGACTTGAACCACGGTTGACCATGTGGAAGTCCAATGCCTTAACCACCACACCACCTGCTGGCCCTATAATTGAGTTTTTGTTTTGTTTTTAAATTTTTTTAAAGACTTATTTACTTAATTTTATTTATCATTATTGTTATCATTATTATTATTATTTGTATCTGCTATAGGACACACATGCTCCAGAGAGAGACACACCTGGGGGGGGGATCGGTGAGAAGGCCAACCACCAAGGCTTGAGACTTGAACAGCAGTCAGCCACATGGGAGCCCAATGCCCCATCCACCATGCCACCTGCTGGCCCCCCTACAACTGATTTTTACATATTGACTTCCTGTCATCCAGCTACCTTGCTAAACTCTATTAAATAATCTGTACCATCTTTTGGGATTTGCTAAGTACAGGGTTGTATCATCTGAGATTAATGACAATTTTGCTTCTTTTTTTAGCTGTTACTGTATTTCTTTTTTCTTACCTTCTATTGATCTCTGGTGAGACAAGGAATAGAAGTAGGGGACATCTTTGATCTAGATCTTAAGGATAGTGGAAGGGTGGGACTAGTAGGTGGCATGGTGGTTAAAGGCGCTGAATTCCCTCATGGCCAACTATGGTTCAAGTCCCTTACCTGGCAGCTTGCCTTCTTGCTCTCCCTTTCTCTCTGTCTCTGTCTGGTCAAATTAAAAAATAGTAATAGTGGCAGGATTTTAACATATCCCTAATAAGTATATTTGCAGAGGCTTTTTTTTTTTCTTTTTAATTTTACCAGACAATGCATGTACTCACTAGACAGAGACAGAGAGGAAGAGAGAGAAAGCACTCCCTATGGGGCATAGTCATTTCCCCTTCTCCATTTCTCCATCCTGTCGGGACTTAGGGCATACACACAGACGTGCCTGGCATGTTTTTCAAGCTGCTAGGTCTGGGTTTCAAACTGTACCGTTGGCCACATGGAAGCCAGCTCCCTTACCACCAGACCACAGAGCCAGCCCTGCCGGAGCTTTTTGTGCATGTTCCTTATGAGATTAAGGAAGTTTATGCTATTCCTTGTTGACTGAGAGTTTTAACCGTGGATGGTATATTGATTTTTATCAAATGCTTCTTCCACATCTATCAGATTATCCTATGACTTTTCTTTAATTTTAATCCCCTGTAATGTACTAATTCATATTAATTTATTTTTAAATGTTAAATCTAACTTTCATTCATGAAATAAATACAATAGGATTATGATTTATATAATGTTTTTAATACATTGCTGGATGGGGACCAGCGGGTAGTGTGGTGGTTAAGGCACTGGACACTCCCACGTGGCAACCATGGTTCAAATCCTAACTGGTGGCTTGCTTTCTCACTTTCTCTCTCTCTCTCTCTCTCTCTCTCTCTCTCTGAACCTCTCTCTGATAAAATAAATGAATGAATAAATAAAATAATTCTAAAAAAAGTACATTGTTGAATTCAGTTTGCTGTCATCTTGTTTAGGACGTTAACATTTATATTCAGAAATGAGATTGGCTTCTAACTTCTCAATATTCAGCTCTCGTGGGGTTTAGCATCATGAAAAGAGCTGGAATACACTGACTCTTTTTCTGTACTCAAGAAGACTTTATGTAGGATTGGATTGTCTTCCTTGAAAGTTTGAAACTGTATAAGAGAGGAAAATTCATGAAGGTCATCACCCTTTAGCACAGTGGGTTAAGGGAGCCAGATCCCTCCTGGCCAACTACAGTTCAAATCCCAACCCTTCTGGCTTGAAAATCACACCAGGTAGGGCCAGCAGGTGAAACAGTGTTTAAGGCGCTGGACTCCTACATGGCCGACTGTGGTTTGAGTCCTGGACCTGGCAGCTTGCTCTCTCACACACTCTCTCTCTCTGGTCAAATTTAATAATAATAATAATTTTAAAAATTAGGAGCCAGCAGATGGCGTAATGGTTATATCACTGTACTCCCACATAGTTGACCGTGGTTCAAGTCCCAGACCCAGTGACTTAAAACTCACACTGGGTGCGTGTGCATGCGTGCCCAAAATCCTGAGAGGAGAGTGGGAGGGGATTGTGATGCCCTATAGCAAAAATCTCTTTTAAAAAAATGGTACCTCAGGACCAGCAGTTAGTGTAATGGCTATGTCGCTGGACTCCCATGTAGTCGACCGCAGTTCGAGGCCTGGACCTGGTGGCTTGAACTCATGCCAGGTGCATGTGCATGCATGTCCAAGATCCTGAGAGGAGAATGGAGGAGAAGGGATTGCGGCATGGCCATCCCCACTGGGGGGTGATTTTTTGCTTTCTATCTCTCTCTGTCTCTCTGGCGAGTGCATGTACCCTATAGCAAAAAATCTCTTGGGGGGAAAAAAAAGGTACCTCTTGCCAGAGGGTACATAAACTTAACAGTGAGAGAGAGGAAGGGAAAAGGCACCTACCTGTGAGGTATGACCATACCACAATCCTTCTCCTCCATTTCTTCATCCTTTGGGGATATGGAGCATGCATTCATACACACTCAGCATGTTTTCTCAATCTACTAGGACTGGGATTGAAACCCTGGCTGGCCCTATGGGATCTGGCTCCCTTTGCACTATACTTAATCGCTGTGCAGTTGGGTCAGCCCTCTTTTTAACTTCGTGACATGGATGTTGTGTTCATTAATTTTCTTTCTATTACCCTTTTCTTATTTTGGTTTTATTTGCCATAGGGCATGTGAGCTTGCTGAAGAGACAAAAATCACCCCCACACACACGGGAGGATGGCCTTGCTGCAGTCCCCTCTCTATTCTCTTCTTGGTATTTTGGGCAGGCACACACACATGCCCAGCATGCTTTTCAAACCACTGGGGCCAGGACTCAAACTGTAGAGTCAGCCACGTGAGATCCAGCACCTCAACCACCATCCCATCTGCTGGTTCTCTATTACATTAATTTTAAGATTACTCTTCAAAAAATGCAGAAGAAATTAAAAAAAGTGAGTCAGAACATTTTGGAAAGCTTTGCCAGGAAATGATCTCTCTGAATATTGTAATGTATTACGTGGCTGGAAAGTCATGATGTATTTTTCTGTTTTTCTATGCAATAATGAGTCATGACTTTCCTAATTAAATTTTCTAAATATAGTACTTATTAGGTTCTTTTTTAAAAAATTAGAGGCCAACAGGTGGCGTGGTGGTTACTTTGTTGTACTCCCACATGGCTGACTGCAGTTCAAGTTCTGACCTGGTGGCTTGAAACTCATGCCGGGCACATATGCGTACATGCCCAAGATCCTGAGAGAAGAAGGGATTGTGGCATGGCCATCCCCCTTGGGGGATAGTTTCTCACATTCCCTGTCACTGTCTCTGTCTTTCCAGCAATTGCATGTGCCCTAAGGCAAATATCTCTCAAAAAAAAAAAAAGATAAAATTTAAAAATTTTAAAAGATTACCCTCCAAGTACTACTTTATTTGCATACCAACATTTCAATAAATAGTACTTTCATCAGTCATTTAAATTCATTGAAATGATACGCTTTCTTCTTAGATCAATGGGTTATTCAAAGTATGTTTCTTAATTTTCCAACATAAAGGGAGTCTGTCTGTCTGTCTTCTTTCTTTCTTTCTTCCTCTCTTTCTCTCTCTCTCTCTCTCTCTTTCTCTCTTTTTAATGTGCCAGAATGCATGACTACTCACCAAAGACATGGAGGAGGAAAAGGCACTAAAAAGCATCATACTCCCGTGGGGTATGATCACACTGCAGTCCCTTCTCCATTTCTCCATCGTGTTGGGATTTGGGGCCTACCACTTTGCATTTTATATTGAGTTCTAGATTAATTCCATCGTAGTCAGAGTATCTGCTGTGTACAATTTCAGTCCTTTAAATCAGTAACATGCTTACTTTAATACACTTTTTATTTTACCATGTAATCAGTAACATGCTTACTTTAATACACTTTTTATTTTACCATTAACAAAATGGTCATCATACAGTTTTAGTAACATTGTCTTTTTTTTTTAAGAGAGGTTTTTGTTTTGTTTTTGTTCATGTTTTTGCTATAAGGTATGTGTGTGTACTCACCAGAGAGACAGAAAGAGACAGAGAGACAGGAAGTAAGAAATCCTCACCCCCAAGGAATGGCCATGCCACAATCCCTTCTACATTCTTCTCTCAGGATTTTGGGCATGCACACACAGGTGCCTGGCATGAATTTCAAGTTCCTGGGTCCGGGACTCAAACTGCAGTCAACTATGTGGGAGTCCAGCAACGTAACCATTACTCCATCTGCTGGTCCCAACATTGCCTTTTATACTTGATAATATTGTTATTTTGAGGTTCATTTTTAATTGCTATGCCTTTTGTACTTAGTAACATTGTTGCTTTGGGGTTTATTTTTAATTGTTCAGTTTGCTACAAATCCTGAATACAGATAAAATTGCCTAAAATTCAGAATGATTAACTTTTTCAATTTATCAGCACGAAACAACATACAAAACTTCTGTAGTGGAAAGAGCATTTGATTTTGCTTTGACCTGAGATAGCTACATGTTTATTTGCTCACACAGGTTTGTCCTTGCGTATATTACTTTAGTCAAAGTTAACCACATTTTTACTAAGCTTGTAGGCAAAAGCCCACTTGTAGTTAGAAAACTGAATAAACACCAACTGTTTCTTGGTCTTTCTCCAGGCCCGAGGTATTAAAAAACAAGTTATGGATGACTTCTTGACCCAAAACAAGTATCTGTTGGCAGCCAGACTCACCAGCCAGAGGTTGTTCCATGAACTCTGCCCCGTGAAACGGACTCACCGACAGAGGAAGTAAGGACTCAACTTTGTCTCCTCTTGACATTGCAATGGAAGGGCCATGTTGCATTTTACATCAGGGTGATTAAATGTCTACTTTGTGACAGGCAGAAATTATTCTTCATTTAACAAATTCTGATGTGGCTGGCAGATGGCGTGGTAGTTGGGGGTTTTGGACTCCCACATGGCTGACCACGGTTTGAGCCCCAGACTTGGCAGCTTGCTTTCTCGCTTTCTCTCTCTCTCACTCTCACTCTCACTCTGTCCCTCTTTGGTCAGATTAAAATAAATAAATAAATAAAGTTAAATAAAATAATCCTTTAAAACAAATGTCAATTAACAGCTACAATGGTTGCCAGTTATTTTAGTCCAGGGCATCTTAGAACCCAATTGCATATGCCAGCCTGGCCTAGAGGTCAGAGAGCTCCCTGAGGTGAAGCACTTCCACTGAGACCTTCAGGCTGAGTAGCCTTTAGCTAGATGTCACGGAGAGACTGGGTCACTTTAAAGAAGGGAGAGTGACTGTCCCCACTTGAGCACTCTGCAGAGTGAGCCTGTGGAGGTCTCAGAGAGGAGCCAGGACCGCAGCTGAGCAGGAGGTAAGCCTGAGAACTGAGGATAGGACAGGAAATAGCCAGGAACTGGGGAGGCTCAGGGACAATAGAAATGTGAAGAATATTATAGAGTATCTAAAAGGTCTGTAAATACAGGGTAATATTATTATACCTTTCTTAGATTAGTGAATCAATAGTTTGAAGTTTAAGGTCATTTCATATGTACAATGTGAAAGGAAAACATAGTATTCGTATTATTTGAAAATGAAACTGAAATATTGTCTAAAATGAATTTCTCTATGTTTCTAGACTTTTCAGATTTCTTTATAGTCTAAGAGAGAAGAAGGAAGAATATTATTTTAGGTTTTTTGGGGGTTTTTTTTTTTTGAGATTTTTGCTATAGGGCGTGTGTACTTGCCAGAGAGACAGAGAGTCAAAAAGCGAGAAATCACCCCCCAGGGGGGTGGCCATGCCACAATCCCTTCTCCTCCATTCTCCTCTCAGACACATACACCTGGCATGAGTTTTAAGCCTCCCTATCCAGGACTGGAACCGTGGTTGGCCATGTGGGAGTTCTGCAGCCTGACCATTATGCCAGCTGCTGGTCCCCAGGAAGGATTTTAATAATAACAATAATAATAATAATAATACATATATGTAAATGTACGTATGCTTGTATACACACACACACACACACACACACACACACACACACACACATATCCCGGACCGTAAGGGTTGTTGTTTATGCAACCTTCAAAACATATTCCAAATCCATACATTTCTCTCTCTCTCTCACTTTCTTTTTTTAATCGCTATCATCCCAGAATAAATCATTACTCTCTCTCTTTAAGGCCACCATGGCAGTCTTCCAGCTGGGTTCTCTGCTCTCGGTCCACTCTCATACCCTCAAGTCAATTCTGCACACATTAGCCAGTGATCTTTAAAATTGTGAATTGGGGCCAGCAAATGATATGGTGGTTAAGGTACTGGATCCCACATGGCCAATAGCATAGTTCAAGTCCCAGACCCGGCGGCTTAGTAAACATGCTAGGCATAATATGTGCCCAAAATCTCAAGAGGAGAATGGCGGGAAGGGGGGGGGACGTGGTCATCTTCCCCCCCCC